CTATTTACCTCTTTTCTCAACCAATTTTGACATATTTTTATTTTCTGCTCTTTTCCTTGACTTTCTTCAACACAGATATGACTTGATTTTTTTTTTATTCTTTTTTTTTTGTTTTTCTGCATCATTATCATTCTTTTTGATTCTCTTGAATTTAGTCACACCTTTTTTCTATCCTTTTTATTCTTCTATACATAACTCTTTTCATACACTTTTCTTTCAGTTTTCTTTTTCATAGCCACCCTCAACTTATGTATTTTGCATGAGTTGAGGTGCACAATATCCGAGGTCGGACCAGGGTCAAGATTAAGGTAACATTTTGAATTAGCCACCCTCAACTTAGGATTTTGGCCTAAGTTAAGGTGCACATGTCCAAGGAGGGACCAGGGCCAAAACAATCTTTTAGGAAATGTGAGTTAGGCGTATTGAAAGAAGTGGTATTCGTTAGGCTCAAACATTTGGATCGAAGGAGTCATTTATTTCTTTTGGTTGGATCTTTTTAGGCTTAAGTGGACTTATTTGAACAAGGGCCTATGATCATTTCCCAATTTCTAGCCTAGATTATCTTAGCAGGACCAACGAGCAAGTTCTAGATTGGCACATACTACATGAATATACAAAATCTACTCAAGCACATGGCACATTTTTTCATTATCGGATTATTGAAGCACCCAGTTCAAGTTTTAGCTTAATTCATGCTATCAGGTATCAATTTCATGCTCTTATGCCATCATGATTTCATTCTTTTTATCTACTTATACACATACAATCCTACACATGCCGGTTCAACATAAAAGTAAAGCAGTCCCTTGGGGAAAAAGAATACAGGCAAGAAAACCCCAAGGGAGGGTTTTGAGTTCGGTTACTCAAACTTCACCCTATCACTCACAACCTATTTACCCCACCCCCACAAAAAATTAGTGCAATTTCCCTCAATGCACAAAAAGGAATAATAAAGCATAAGGTGAAGCAAACCTGTGGCGCATATATGCCGAAGACCCATCAAGATGCAGGTGGGTTCGATTTCTCAGAACCCGCTAGATCAGTCATAGGAACGCCATCAGTAGTGCCCTCATCAATAGTGGGAACACCATCAATAGTGTTTCTCGAATCGGATGGGCCAACATCTATCTCTTGAGCTCGCTGCTGCCTCAACTTCTCATCGATAATAAACTGCCTTTGGACAGCCTCAAGCTGGTTTCACTCCCTCTTCTTGGCCCGTCGAACCTCCTTAGTGTCAGAAGTATGATTAGAAGAGTGATGGTGCTTCCCAGCCATACAAGAAGGGTCGGGTGGTGGCATAGTGTCGCTAAAGAGTGCCATCATCACCACCTCATCATCTGCAACCTTAGGTGCGGCCTCTAGTATAGTCTCAGCAAGGGCTAGAAAAGCATCAACATCAGAACGGAGCCTATATAACTCCATCTGGAAAGTAGTGATATCCACGGTGGACCCAGGTCTCTCCAATACCCTCAACTCAAATGTATCTAGCCTTTTGTGGACCTCCTGAACCATTGCGTCCATCATCCTCTCCATATGCGCCTCGCATTCCTCAACCGATCTTGGCATCCACGACCTCATGGGCTGCAATAAGGTGGCCATCTGAGTCTTGAGTTTTTGGACTTGTGCCAGAGGAACTAAAGTGGACCATGAAGAGGGAGTGGCTCGGGACAAACTCGCAGCCTAATTGGTGGCGGTGGAAGGGGGAGCCTATGCATCTGTAGTAGTGGGAGGTATGGAGATATCGGCAGCCTGATCAACCTGAATTTGTACCACATCTCCGGCCAAATCTGTATTTAAAGGTGGTAGGTCAACATGTGGTCCCTTCCATTATGCCACGGTATTAGCATCATCTTTAATGAGGCCGACGTCCACAGTCTTCGTCGCCTCGAGAAACCTGTCACAATGCCAAATAGGCACTGAAGCCTCCCTGTAGAAATGGAAGATAAGACACAGGAAGGGAAAAGTAGTGGTAGTCTTGAATGTCCTCTCATGGATCTCAGCAATAAAGATGTGGGAGAAATCAATCTCCAGCCCCGCCATGATTGCTACTAACATCACAGCCCTGTGCCAAGTAACAACGTTGTCCGACTGTGTAGGGGACAGTCTAGTATGATACACGGACCAAAAGAACTTTGCGGAGAAGCTCAGGGCAATGTAATATTTTGCACCCACTCAGTGCTTTCTCCCTCCTCGTTTATATGATGGGTCATCTATCTTAGTAAGGTCTCACATTGCTTGGTGTCCCGCTGAAAAGCTCCACTCTGAACCACCCCCATCTTGTAGTCCTACTCCGTTGTATTAATCGGCAGAGTGTGGGCTGGACCGTAAATAAAATGGTGAATGATAGTCTCAGAGATGTCAACGAAGAAATTTTGCACCAAGATAGCCTGAAGTGGGGGCTGAGCTAGTGGCTTAGCCCATTTGGGCATAGCGTTCTAGACGGTAGCAGCGTAGGAAGCATAGAACTCACGAGTTATCTCCGCGCTAAAATTGCCCGGGCTCTGTGCCATCCACTCATATTTGTGCCTCTTAAATAACTCTTCAATTGTCGGCACAATATGAAGGATCCCTGTCAATACCCGACGCTCCTCAGTAATGGTTTTGTCCATCTTCATGTGTTCATTCAACACATTCCCGTCATCATAGATCTTTTGCTGGCCCTCAACACACCGGAAGAATTGGAAGTACCGTTGGAACTGGAGTCGGAATACGACTAAGAGTCGGACTACAACTCTCTTGCAGGTGACGCCCCATCCTCAGACTGGGGGCAGTGACTCGACCTCGTCACTGGATGTTAAAACCTGCTTGGTCGTGTTCCTCGTAGTCCAGGGTCAGTGGGGGATCCTCTTGTGGTCTCCGAGACATATTCGTCCCCGCTGGAATCATTGATCAGACGTCGGGATGAGGCGACAAACTTAGACTTGCCCTTCTTGGCGTACTCGGGTTCTTGTTTAGGTGTCATGGTAAGTATGGAAGGCTTACTAGTACTTAAAGAAGTCAAAAAGACCTAAGGAAATTTTTTAAAACAAGATTATGACTTAGACAAAAAATAAAAAATTCTTTGGGCAGTAGTTGTTTTTGTGACCCACGGTGGGTACCTACACTCCATCGATGGATTGATAGGTCATGGGTCCCCTCCGAAGGTCAGAGAGCCCATTTTTGGATCTCTAATGTTGGAACCACGGATGTGCAGTACGGTTCGTCAATGGAACAACAGACCGTAGTCCACACCGTGGTTCGCAACTTAGCAAATACGTGTGTGCATGCAATTGACAGACCACGACCTACGGTTCGTCGGTTGAGGCTATCGAGTGTTGTGCCAAACAGTGTGATCCCAATATTCCAACAGCACATTAACTTCAACAATCAATCAATTAATCTAAGTCTAAACATTTATTTCAACATATTATATGGTAGTTCATCATCCGTAGGGTTTTGATTATGCAAAATTCAACTTTCAACATAGAGACAACAAACCCCTAAGTCAAAACTCCCAATTAGACCTATCAAACCCACTGATTCATGTTAAATCTACAACACACTAATACTCCATCGTTCCAAGGGTAGTATCTAAACTAGATTTCAACAATTTTACATGCAATTTACTACCCAAGGTCAAGTTCAACTCTGTGATTTCAAATTTAAACAATGAAAACGAATTCAAATTTTGGTGAAATCGATTACCTCACAAGTAAACAAAGTTTGTGAGTGTGTAGTACAATGATTTCTCCTTCTAACTCGAACGACCTAGACACCGAACCCAGACCGTGAATGGTTGGTATAAATGAGGAATTTTTTAGAGGAAATGGGTTATGGGCAAATTTGAAAGAGAATGGGGGGAATGGAATCTGAAATGGAGGATATATGGGGGTAAATGAGGGAGATTAGGAGATGAATATGGGGTAATTTGATGGTTTGAAATGGTAAGTGAAAGGAGGGAAATGGGGAATGTTTAAAAAATGAAGGGGTTTTTATTTAATGGGGTCTGGGTCGGGACGACTGAAACCCTAACTTGGACCCACAAAACACCGTCGACGGTCTGTGGGTCAACCTACGGTCCATCGATGGGTACCGTGGTTCACTCCAACACTTAATGAAAATCAGAACACACACATGGGATCTACAGATGCCATCCACGATCCGTGGGTGGACCGACTGACCATTGACGGGAGCCGTAGACCACTGCATCAGCTAAATTTCTGCAGAATTGCCTTTTATTCCCTGCACATGTAGCAAACATTAGGATGTCCTCTTTACATTTTCTGGATACTTGTTAGACACAGACCATATTTTATCTTTATCTAGTGAACCCTAAACTAAAAATTAAAAACATCTATCTAAAGAAACTACAAATTTAAGAAAAACTCCCTATATCGAAAAAAACTCCTATAGTTGGCTAGATTTTACATATTGGGTTGCCTCCCAAGTAGTGCTTGATTTACCGTAGCGGCATGACGCAGACACCTTGATTACTCAGACTTCATCAAGACCCCACTCCTCTATCACCTCATTTACACTCTCGGATTGCCCCAAGTAGATCTTTATCATTTGTCCGTTCAGCTTGAACTTCGTTCCATCCTTGTTCTCGAGTTCAACCGCTCCATGTGGAAATACTTGGGTTATTGTGAATGGTCCGGTCCACTTACACTTGAGTTTGCTAGGAAATAAGCACAACCTTGAGTTAAATAATAGTGCCTGATCACCGAAAGCAAATTCGCACTTTTCGATCTTCGGATAATGGTACTTCTTCATTTCTCTTTGTAGAAGGTTGAACTCTCATATGCTTTTAGGCGAAAGTCATCAAGCTAATTCATCTCATTCATTCTTTGATCCGATGTTGCGCCTCAACCCACATTCAAATTCTTTAGTGCCCACATCGCCTTATGCTCTAGCTCTACAAGAAAATGACAAGACTTCCCATATACAATTTGGTTGGGGGACATACCTATGGGAGTTTTGAATGCAGTGCGATAAGACCATAGAGCATCATCAAGACTTCTTTACAAGTCAGTTCTGTTGGCATTGACGATCTTTGCAAGAATTTGCTTTATCTTGCGATTTGACACTTCAACTTGCCCACTCGACTGTGGATGATACGGAGTTTCTACGCTGTGGCGATCACTATAATTCTCAAGCAACGCCTTAAACAATTTATTACAAAAGTGAGAACCTTCATCGCTTATGATTGCCCTTGGTGTACCAAATCTGGAGAAGATATATTTTTTCAGGAACGCGGCTACACTCTTTCCCTCATTGATTGAAAGCGCAACTGCTTCCACCCATTTTGATACATAGTCAACCGCCACAAGAATGTACTTCATCCCATTAGAACTCACAAACGACACCATAAATTCAAGACACCAAACATCAAAAAGCTCAATCACCAGTACTTGGTTCATTAGCAGTTCTTGTTTTTTCGAAATTCCTCTCTCACGCTGGCAACGATCATAAGACTTGGCGAAATCATGAGCATCTTGGTGGATGGTAGACAAGTAATGCCCACACTGCATAATTTTATAGGCAGTTCGGATACCACTACGGTGCCCACCAATAGGCGATGAATGACACGCCTCTAGTATACTCATCATCTCACCTCGGGCACACAGCGACAAATAATCCCATCAACACAAACACGAAACAAGTAAGGCTCATCCCAAAAGAATTTCTTCAAATCAGACATGAACTTTTTACTTTGGTGAAATGATAAATCCGACGAAACCAAATCACTTGCCAAGTAGTTAGCAAAATCTGCGAACCAAGGGATACGATCATAAGAAGCCACAAAATACATGTTCATTACGGAACGCACCATTAATCTCAATTCCATCTTCTAGCTTGATCATAGCTTCCTCCTCTAGTCTGGACAAATGATCAGCAACCTAATTTTTTGTTCCTTTTCTATCCTTTACCTCAAAATCGAACTCTTGCAATAGGAGCACCAATCTAATCAATCTTGGTTTTGCATCCTTTTTAGCCATCAGATACCTCACTGCAAAATGGTCAGTATGCACTATGACCTTAGTACCAAGCAAGTAGGATCTAAATTTTTCAAATGTGAAAACCACAGCAAGGAGTTGTTGTTTAGTCACAGTATAGTTCTTTTGAGCCACATTCAGAGCTTTGTCGGCATAGTAAATCGGATGAAGAATTTTCTCTCGCCTCTATCCTAATACTACACCAAGCGCCACCCCAGTTGCATCACACATCACTTCAAATGGTTTGCCCCCAATCCGGTGAAATAATCATAGGTGTCGAAGTTAACTTTTCTTTCAACTCTCCAAATGCTCTCAGACAAGCATCATCAAAATCAAATTTACACTCATTTTCAAGTAGCTTGCACAATGGGTGTGCAATTTTAGAGAAATCTTTTATGAACCTCCGGTAGAAACCTGCATGCCCAAGAAAACTTCGAACACCTTTTACAGAGATTGGTGGTGGAAGCTTTTCTATTACCTAAACTTTAGCTCTATCAACCTCAATACCTTTCTGTGAAATTCGATGACCCAAAACTATGCCCTATTTGACCATGAAGTGGCACTTTTCCCAGTTGAGCACAAGATTGCACTCATCACACCATTTTAGTACCTCAGCCAAATGTGTCAAACAATCATCAAACGAGTCACCTACCACAGAGAAATCATCCATAAATACCTCTATCTTGTCCTCCACCATATCTGAAAATATCGACATCATACAACGCTGCAAGGTTGTTGGAGCATTACATAACCCATATGGCATCATTTTAAAGGCAAAAGTCCCATAAGGACAAGTGAAGGTGGTTTTCTCTTGGTCTTCCGAAGCTATGGAGATTTGATTGTAACCCGAATACCTATCTAGAAAACAATACCAACCCTTACTAGCAAGACGATCTAGCATCTGATCCATGAACGACATTGGGAAATGGTCTTTCTCAGTCCATGCATTTAACTTGCGGCAGTCCATACATACTTTCCAACCACTCACCGACCTCATTGGAACAAGCTCGTTTTTTGTATTGGGAACCACAATGATTCCTTTTTTCTTTGGCACACACTGAACTGGGCAAACTCAACTACTATCAGAAATAGGATATATAACTCCAACATCTAACCACTTAATGATCTCTTTTTTCATAACATCTTGCATAGGGGGATTTAGTCTCCTTTGATGCTCAATACTTGGCTTACTGTCCGGCATGAGTTGAATTTTTTGAGAAAAAATACCCGGAGAAATCCCAATAATGTCCGCAATAGTGCATCATATAGCCATCTTAAACTGCTTCAACACCGATATCAAAGCCTCTATTTGCCCCTCACTCAAGTCAGTAGCAATAATAACGGGCAAGGTGTTATTTTTTCCCAAGAATCCATACCGCAAGCGGGATGGAAGAACCCTAAGTTCCAGTTTTTGAGGCTCATCAACAGACAGTTTTACAGGTGGGGTGTCTCGATTCTTCATGTCTAATTCCAACATTTTTTGTTTGAAGCGGAACTCGAACCTATCAAGTGCAGCAACTAGCTCATCATAGTCATCAATACGATCACTATCAAAATTAATCATCATTGTTGCTAGTGCATCAACACTTAACCTCTCTTTAATAGACACTTTAGATTGTCGCCCCACAATATGATTTACCACCGATACCGACTTAAGATCACTTTCATGCTTCATAGACCTATAGATGTTAAAAGTTACCTCCTCAATGTTTAATCAAAACTTCATTTGTCCTCTATCCATATCGACCAAGGCACGCCCAGTAGCAAGAAATGGTCTCCCTAAGATGATGGGAACCTCAAAATCAACCTCACAATCAAGTATCACAAAATCCACCAGAAAGATGAAAGACTCCACTTTCACAAGAACATCTTGGAGCACTCCAATGGGCCTCTTCACAGTTCTATCGGTTGTAAGTAGATGCATCGCAGTCGGCTTTGGAGCTCCTAAACCTATTTTTTTATAAATGGACAATGGCACAAAATTAATTATGGCACCCAAATCACACAAAGTTTTCGCAAAGTGTAAAATCCCAATGGTACAAGGAATAGTGAAAGCTCCAGGATCCTCTTTCTTTTGCACAAGTGACCTAGTAGAAATAGCACTACAATGTTGCAGCCTCTCTCCATTCTCAAAACTAACAGCCCTTTTTCGGTCACCAAATCTTTCATGAATTTTGCATACCCAGGCATCTGTTTCAAATCTTTAATCAACGGGACATTTATAGACAGTTCATTCAACATAGCTATGAACCTACGCTATTTTCCCTCTTCAGTCTTTTTCACTAATCTTTATGCAAATGGAGATGGAGTTCTAGGCATAAAAATAACTTTTGAGTCACCTCAACTTCCTTTTCTGTATCATCTTTCGGAATTTCAGTAACTTCATCCTCATCTTTTTCTATCACTCTTTCAACCTCAGACGGCATGGGGGGATCAATAGTCTGCTTTCCTCCGCGAGTCGTGACTGTCATACAATGCTCACAATTCTTTGAATTCTGGATGGTGTTGCTAGGAAGTGTGCCAGGCTGGCGTGGGTTTAAAGTAGCAGACAACTGACAAAACTGCTACTCAAGTTGCTTTATTAACACTGCATGTGCAACAACTTTCTGACCAATTCTAGATAAATCATTTCACATCTCCTTCTTATTCTCATCTGTCGAATCAAATCTCCTCATCATCTTTTGTATCATATCCTCAATGCGAGTCATACTTGTACCAGCCTCTCTATTACCATGGGGAACGTAGGGCACAACCTTCTCATTTTTGTTGCCATATTTATTTTGGTTGTAATCGTTATCACGATTATAGTTCCCATCCCGAACATAGTTTCCATCTCGATTATAGTTTCCATAGTTCCGACCTTGGTTTCCTTGACCCTGGCGCTAATTATCCGAGTTGGAACCTTGGGCGTTGGTTCAGAAACCCCCTATTTGATCATTAACCAAATTTGCATCTTCTTCATAGTAATACTCCTCAACTGGCGGTGGTGGAGGTCTAGTTAGATAATTTACCGCATTCACTTTTTCTGCACTTCCACTCACATGCTTTAGTACCAAGCTAATTTTTTTTCTCATTTGAGTCATCTCTTCACGAATGTCATCATTTGATTAACTTGGTGTAATTTGGACAGAAAACGTGCTTCTACCAGTATTTGCCTTCCTAGTGCTCCATGTTGTGTTGTCCTGGGAAATCCTCTCATGTTTTTTAACAATCTCCTCAAAAGTGAACTTACCATATGATCCTCCAGCAATAGTATCTAACACAACCTTTCCATTGTCATCATGTCCTCTGTAGAAGTAATCTTTCAATGACTCATCATCTATGCGGAATCCAGTGAATCTATCCCATGAAATGCTCACCGACTCTCGAGGTAGTGCCGTGAAATTATTCAATTTATCTTTTTAATTTAACTTCTTGGACACCGGAAAATACCTCACCATGAACACCGTATGCAGTTAGTCCCATGTATATATCGAATTGAATGGAAACTCAGAAAACTACACAGCAGCATCACCAGTCAACGAAAGTGGGAATACTTCCTAACCTATAATGTTCATATCTAAGTCCGGTCGTCCCACACTACTCTTACAGACACTTGTCAATTTATCCATGTGAGCATATGGATCTTCCGAAGATAACCTAGCGAACAACCCTCTTGCTGTAAGCATTTTGCATAAGACTGCAGGTCACCATAAATGTATGTCCCAGAGATAGAGGAGGGAGAACAATAGACCATTTAATCCAACCGCGTCGTAGTCAACCCTGTAGTTATAACGAAGCCTCGGTGCTTGCTGGTTTTGCATCCTTTCTGCATTTTTTATTAGATGACCACCCTGAACCTGGGCAGGAACATTCACAACTCCAGGAGGTAGAACACCAGCTTCATTCTCTTGACCCTCCGCGCTAGGATCATTTTGTACCCCAAGATTTATGCCTCTTCCAACCATTCTTCTCAAAGTTTTCCTTAATTCTGGATCGTAGGACGTCAGGGGATTTCCTTCATTCCATGTACTTGGCATACACTAGAGTTGAAACCTATAGAAAACAAAAATAAAACAAAAAACATAAAATCAGGAAATACTTCACTAAAGTTCAACAATGTAGTTAGTTTAATCTAAAAGTCGTATTCCCTGGCAGCGGCGCCAAAATTTGATACGCCCAAATTACACTTCCCAAAATAAGTATAAGCGGTTGTTGCCATATAAAGAACCCAACTTGTAGGTTGGGGTCGATCCCACAAGGAATATGGTTCGGACTTAAACTTAACTGGCAATTATCTCCTTTTAGTCAAACTATTTCCGAGAAAAGTAAACAGGGGGTTTGGTAACTAAAATAATAGATTGTTGGTTTGATTTTGAGGTTCCAAGTAAACAAAGTTCACAATTTTAGATATCAATATAATATGAAACTAGGGTATATGTGTTCCCCACAAGCTCTTAACGCAGTTTTCCTAATAATAGTAATCATATCCTAGTGTTTGATATACAAGGTTGATAAGTTAGATATCCCTAAGTGATTGGTAATCCAAGTAGGAACTTTCACCTCGCAACTTGGTAAGTCTACGGGAGTGTTCTTTACTAACCCTTACCTTTACCCCATATTAGTCATCGTGTCAATTGAGTTGGGTATTCACCCTCACGACAACTGATTAAAGTCAGACTATTAGATAGAAGCAAATCATTAACTAAATCTCTATTGTTTAATTTTTTTTCTCATTCATTACCTCCTTCGTAAGGTAAGTAGGAACGAGGTGAGTTCTAACGTTGCGCAACGCTAGAAAGACTTTTAAACAAAAAGATTAACAGTTCATGAATAAACACTATTTAAGAATTACTTAGTTATTAGTCATACGTTGTTAATTTCTCATTGTTCCCACAACCCTAGTTGTGGATTTATCTACTCATGCTTGAAAATTCACAATTCATATTAAGGTTAAACAAAATCATGAACAAAACAATTAGAATAGATGAAAACTGAAATCTTGAATTGAAATTCAAAGTGCAAATTGCATAAAACCAACTTTCAGAATTAAATTGCTAAGAGTTTGCAAAATAATTGCAAACGACCAAAACAAAAGTCTTCAATATTGTCTAACACCCAAAAACGGAAATAACAACTAATATTTATAGTAATTAAATCCTAAACCAACTAGGAAACGAAAATAAGGAAAAATAGTTCAAGGCGCGGTTTTGACAGACAACTGGACCTATGGACCGTGGGTCACCTCTATGGTTCAGGTACTGGAACTCAATATTTCTAATCAAAACGACGGAAATGCAAGACGGTCCATCATTCACTCTACGAGGCGTCATTTGCCTTTGAAATTCCACACTTGGTCAGACTTCCCTGAACTACACCTACGCTGCATCACCTACGGGCCGTCGTTGGCTTCGTCAGTTGTTGTTGCTCCTATTTCAATCCATTTTTCTATCAACCGCTACCGAACTAATTTCCTGCAAAAGATTACATAAAAACATTATATCTAATAACAAAATAGCCCAAGACACACACAAACTCTAAGTGAAATGCATTAAAAATACCGTAAACTCACGGTATATAAAGTATCACTATTGATTTTTAAATAGATGGTGCACTAAAGGGATTGGAAGTATATATTGAAAATGTCTCTTAATACTTCTATAAGCATAAAGAGCTTTTTATAGCCAAATTAGAATTAAAAAATTACATAATTAAAAATTGAAAAAATAAACTACCTTAACAAGCTAAACGAAATCTAATGAAAATGTAATATTCATATTCATTCTAAAACTAGCAATATATATATGCTAAAAATTAACTATAATTACAAAAAGCAAAATTTCAACAAATACCTTTTATTCGATCTTGATAGTAGTGAGAAATATTTCAAAGCTAAGAAGGTCTTCCACCCTCTTCTCAAACCCAACCAGTTTCACTAATTCAACAACTCCTACTTTTCCAAAAAAAAAATCTAGTTTCTCATGCACA